CCCCCCCCAGGGGTCAGTGTGCCAGGGGATTCCCAGGCCCCGCAGGAGACTCCGGAGGCTTCCGTGACCTCATAGACCTCGGCCGGCCCTCCCCCGGGGGCGGGGCTCCAAGTACCAGGGCTCAACCTGGGCCTCCGAGGGCGGGTCCTGCTCCCGCCTGGCCTGGGACGCGCCATGGGACAACTGATAGCCAAGTTGATGAGCATTTTCGGGAAACAGGGTAAGGGGCGCACAGGGTATCCAAGCGACCGCTTTGATCTGGCTTCCCCCCGGGGCTCCCAGGATTGGGGTCGTCGGGGCGGATGCGTTGGGGAGCCTAGGTCTGGGAGGGTCCTGCGTGGGCGCTCCTTGCCTCCTGCGCGGTCTCCTCTCCTTCCCACTCTCCTCCCGGGCCGCGGGCTTCGGTGCGCCCCGGGGTACGCCCCAGGCGCGGGGCTGGGCGAGCCTCCTTCCCCCGGGTAAACGCCGTAGGTTTCTCGCGATTGTCACTTCACGCTCGGCTCTTTCTCCAGACCCCTTCTTGACAAGCCCTGAGCTTCCCGGACCCTTGGGACTCACTTTTCTGACAATGTGGCGCGAGGGAGGTGGGGCTCAGCTCGCACTTTCACTATTCGGGAGTGGCGCAGGTGTCCGGCCCGGTGGGAAAGAAACCTGTCCTGTTGGTTCTCTGTTCTTTCTTTTTTTTGGTGGGAAATGGGGGTGGGGGAAGCAGAAGTACCGTGGGAAAGGTCCCCCAGCCTGCTGGGAACACTTGTCTCCTTCGTGGGAGGCTTAGTGGGTCACACAGTCCCTTGGTCATCGCGTTTGGCCCTGACCCTGCCCTTCCCCCGGATGCCTCCAGAGCACAAGGTTATCATCGTGGGACTGGACAATGCAGGAAAGTCCACCATTCTCTACCAGTTGTAAGTGACACCCAGGGGTGGGAGGGAAGGGTTTGTGCTTTCTCACCAGACTGACAAACATTTGGATCAATCACCAGAGCCCTTACCTGGGTTCCCAGGAGGAGTGATGTGGGGAACGCTAGCAGATCGTCCTGGCATAGTGGCCCCTCACTCAGTTCAGTGGCCCCTCGGCCTGGCATTGGAATGCTGCTCGGTGTGGGCAACCCCACTGCGCCCGGCCATCCACCCCTGGCCCCTGCCAAACCCGGCTGCAGGCCGGGCTGGTGGGCAGGCAGGTTCTTCGCGCCTCGCTGCTCTGCGCTAACCCCTAGAGGCGGGTCCCTTCTTTTTAACTCCTGCACTGCACCTTTGCGCCTTTCTGCTTCTGCAAACCCAAAAGGGGGGGCCAGTTTTGGGTCCGCTGGGCTCTGTAGCTCCTGGTCTGGCACATGTGCTGAGTCTGGCACATGTGCCGAGTAATTATTCATCAGAGTTTTTCCCCGAAATTCACTCCCTGGATGGTGTCTCTCCCGTTCTGGGGCCTCCAGAGTGTTTACTTAGGACAGATTTTCCCCTGAAAAAGTGACACATATAAATGGATTTTAAAAATTAGAAGAAAAGTCCAAACAGTGCAAGAGTATACACTGAAAAGTAAGTTTCTCTCTCACTCCTAACTCCCAGTTTTACTTCCCAGGCATATAAAAGGGTGTGTTTTTTATGTCCCTATAAACAGAGCACCTTTCCGATGGCCCTCACTTGTGTCTGTCTCATTTTTCCAATCCCTCGCTATTCAAAGTGTGGTCCACAGACCAGCAACATTGGCATCATCCGGAAGCTAGTTAGAAGTGCAAACGCTGGGCCCCAGCCCAGACCCACTGGATCAGAATCTGCATTTTAAGGAAACCCCCAGGTGATTCAACTGCATATTAAAGTTTGGGGAGATTGCTCTATTGAGTATCCTCTCTCTGGGGTCCAAGCCAGGGAAGGACTTGGTCTCATTCCTGTCTGCATTCCCCTGTGTTTGGCAGAGGCTGTCAACCTGGGCTGATTTGTTCTGAATTAGATTCAGCCTGACTTGAGAGCAGAGGGGTAGGAGGTCAGAGCTGGGAGTGGGCTGGGCTGAGCTCTTGGTACCCTCTTCTTCCTCCCCAGCCTGATGAATGAGGTGGTTCATACGTGTCCCACCATCGGTAGCAACGTGGAGGAGATTGTTCTGCGAAAGACCCACTTCCTCATGTGGGACATAGGGGGACAAGAGGCTCTGCGCTCCACCTGGAACACATACTACTCCAACACTGAGGTGAGGTGGGCACTGGGGCTGGAGGGGCTGTGTGATATTAGGCAGCTACTTAACCTCTCTGAGCCTTGGTTTCCCTACCTGTGAGATGGAGATCATAAATAATGACCTCCCTGAGTTGTTGTGAAAATTAAATAATAAAACAATAACTAATGCATGTATGTCAAATACTTATACAGCACAATGCCTGCTAATATTTTTTAATATTTCCTAGCAGCTTTGTCTGTTTACTGGCCACTTTTGTTTGATGCACTGAATGGGGTAGACCCATTGTCTCCAGGCGTTTTTACTTACTCACGCTGGAAGGGGTAGAATTCAGTGGTTTCATTCCTGGAATGAGACAGCCAAGTTCAGATTCCAGCACTGCCATTCATTAGTCATGTGACTGAGGGCAAGGTATGTCACCTTGCTGAACCTCAGTCTCCTCACTTGTAAAGGGGAATAATAATACAGTTGACCCTTGAACAACATGGGTTTGAACTGCCCGGGTCCACTTATATGTGGCTTTTTTCAAAATATATACAGTCAGGGGTTTGCACTAATGGATTCAACCAACTGTGGATCAAAAACAGCATTTTCCATCCGCGGTTGGGAGTCCACAAATTCGGAGGGCCGACTGTATGCATTGTTCTATGCCATTTTATATAGGGGACTTGAGCATCCGTGGATTTTGGTATCCACAGAGGCCCTGGAACTAGTCCCCCACGATACCGGGGGAGGACTGAAATTTTGGGGGAGTCAAAAACTATACGTGGATTTTCAACTGTGTGGGAGCTGGTCACCCCTTTCCCTCACGCTGTTCAAGGGTCAACTGTAGTTTCAGTTCCAAAGGGCAGTGGTGAGGCCTAAATGGAGTCAAATGCCCAGGGCATAGCATAGCCTCTGGCATGAAATCTGAGCTTGTGTTGTGTATGCCCTGTGTCTGGTTGGAAAGGGAAATTAAAATGGGACAAAACTAAATAAGTTTAAGAAAAAACAACAAAATGAGACCAGGGCAGTGAGATCTTGAGACTGGACAGTTTGTTTTCTGTGGGACTTGCATCAGGGTAGTGCGGAGGCCAGGGGGGAGCGCAGCTGGGCAGAAGGCACCTTCACCGAAGAGAAAGCCCACTGCTCATGGTTCCCCTCTGCTGGCCAGTTCATCATCCTTGTGGTAGACAGCACGGACCGGGATCGGCTGCTGACCGCTCGGGAGGAGCTGTATAAGATGCTGGCCCATGAGGTAAGCCCCTGTGATTGGGAGAGGGCCCAGTGTACTTGCTGTGTGACCTCAGCTTACTCAGCCTCTCTGAGCTTCATTCCTGAAGATCCAGTGTCTGAGAGCCTCTAGCTCAGCAGCTTGGGCAGGGCTAGTTTATCTCAGATGAAGGGCAGTAATGCTCTCAGCACAGTTGACCGCAGAAGCCAAAGTTGCTGGTTCAGGTCCTCACACCACTTCCCACTCAGACAAATCACTTTGCCTCTCTAATTCTGTTTCCCCAACTATAAATTGGGGAGAATCATCGAATACCTATGTCATGGGACTACTAAGGATTATGTGAGCTGGTTTGGAGGCATCCATGAGCTGTTGGTGTCGTTTGCTGGGGTTGCTATGTTGGGACAGGGCCCCCATCCCCACCCCACTTGGGCATGGGCCTCTCTTGGCAGGATAGCAGGGAAGCCAGGAGACACTCATGCAACACTGGGAAGGGAGGCTGGGCCCTGGCAGGCTGACTGGAGCTGGGCTTCTCTGTCCACAGGCTCTGCGAGATGCCTCTGTCCTGATCTTTGCCAACAAGCAGGATATGAAGAACTCCATGACTACTGTGGAGATCTCCCAGTTCCTCACACTTAGTGCCATCAAAGACCACCCGTGGCACATACAGGGCTGCTGTGCCCTCACCGGGGAAGGGTTAGTGGCTGTCCCACCTGGACCTCCAGGGTCTGGCCAAACCAATGAACAGCTGACCATCAGAACATTCTCCTGCCTCTCCTGTCAGAACCTGGTTCACAGTTAGTCAAGTCAGTTGAGCACATTCCCACAGTTGAGATGCTGTGGGTAAGCAGTGAGCAGGAGTCCCTGCTCTCAAGGGGCTTGTTCAAGTGGGGAGAGAGGTGACAATCCACCTAAACGCAAACATTTTAGGTACTCATAAGTGCTATGAAGAAAGTGAAACTGGATCGTAGTGATAGAGGGGTGGGGATGGGTCCGGTTTAGCTCTGGTGGTCAGGGACAGCCTTCACTAGGAGATATCTCCTGAGCTGAGACCCAAATGAAGAGGGGAAAGCCATAGGAAGACTGTGGATAAGCCTTTTAGGCAGAAACCACTGACTCTTTCTGACCTTGAGTTTCCTGATGTGTAAAGAGGAGGGAGACTAAACCTACTCTCTCTCAGTGTTTCTGTAGAGAGTAAGTTATATCGTTCATTCAACATTAATTAAGCACCTATTTGTGCCAGGCAGTGTTCTTCTAGGCACTGGAGAAACAAAAGTGAACAAAACAGACAAAAATACCTGCCCTCGTGGAGATTACTTTCCAGGAGGGAGAAAAGACAATAAACAATTAAAATAAAAAATATATAGTAAGTTAAAAAGTGCTAAGTGCTCAGGGGAAAAGTCAGAAAGGAAAGGTAATTGGAAGTACATGGGGAGGGGGAGGGGTGTTGCAATTTTAGATTAGCTATCCAGAGGGGCTGCTGAGAAGGTAGCTGCTGAGCAAACACACCTGAACAATGTGAAGGAACTAGGTCACGGTCATATAGAAGGACCTTGTATCAGGCCCGGGGCGCTCCCTTTCCTCTTCCTTGAGTGGAATCACAGCAGGCTGAGGACCTAGATGGCTGCTTAAAGAAGGGGAGGCTTTAGGCAGGTCAGCTCAAGGACCCACACATTTCTGGTAATGTCTTGCTATCCCCTGGGTCAAGAGGATCCTTCTCTTCCAACCCACAGTCAGTTCAATTAACCAGCATTTTGTAAGTTCCCCCATGTGCCATGCACTGTGTCAGGTGATACAGACATGACCAAGACCCCCTAGCCCCCTGCCCCTTGCTCTTGGCATTGCTACAGTCTAATGGGAGAACTTGCTTAAGGGGTCTCTTCTCAGGCCTTTGAAGTCACCTTGGCGCTGCCTCCTGCGATGGAGTGGGTGGGAAGGAGGCATTAGAGATTTGCCCAGAGACATTGCTAGGGTAGGTCTCCAGGCTCCTTCCTTAGAGAAGCCCCTGCTGATCCCCAGACATCCAGAGGCCTCTGTACATCTCCTCCCTAACCTTTATTACAGTATGTGGTTATGGAATTATTTATTTGATCATTTGTTTAGTATCCATCTCCTCTGTTGGATGTGAGCCCCAGGGGGCATGTCTGATTTTTCACCAGTAACTGCAGTGCCTAGCACAGTAGCTGATATATAGTAGGTACTCAGTCTGTTTATATTTACTGACTGAAAGACTAGATGTAACTTCAGTTGCCCCCTCAGTCAGCTTTGGGCAGGGGCTGGGGGCTTGAAGGTCATCATCCGCATGGCATGTGCTGACCCCTGCCCTGTTCCTTTCTGCAGGTTGCTTGCTGGGCTCCAGTGGATGCAATCTCAGGCCACTGCCAACTGATGTCCCAGCCTGAGGCCAACCAGAAACTTTGGGGTTTTGCATGAACTTCATGGGTGGAGAACCCAAGTGACTATTTATTACTTTTCTACGATTCTCTGGTGGGAGCAGGGGCAGCTATGGACAGTGAGATTGCCAGTGCCCACCTAACTCCACACAGAGGAGCTAGACTGTATACCCTGAGTTGCTGCAGACAGGCCAGCAGGAAAAGCTGCCCCTCACTCCATGGAAGCAGGTGTTCTTGGAGACGCCAGGGAAATGTTGGGTGGATTAGGAAGTGGAACCTCCTCCCCTCAGTTCTCCACCTCTCTGTAGGAAAAATGGAGGGGCAGAGTAAGAGACTCCTTTCTTTCCTAGATCCCAACCCCCTCACCTCCACCCCAGCTTTCTGGCCCCTCAGCCATCTTTGGGCAAAGGATATTCTAGAAAGGTGAAGGAGTTGGGCTCAGGGGAAGGAAGGCAGACCCAAAAGCTGGGAGGGAGAGGGAGTGGGACAGGACATCCCAGACAGGAACAGTCCTTGGCACTGCAGGGAGTTCCACTCCTTCCCTGCCTTTCCACTCCCTCGGAGATGCTGGCTCTGAACACAGCTTTTGAGCTTTAAGACACCCCATCTATGCCCTTCATTCCCAGTGTCCTTCCAATGTAAATCTCACTCCTACAAAATGACCCAGGTTCCTTGTTTATCTTGTGTCTTTTTGTACTGATTTTGTTTCATGTTGTATTAGGGTTTTTTAAAATAAAGGTGTAATAAATGAAAAGTCTCACCTCTTATTTCTGCCTTATTGAGTAGGGGTCCTTATGGGTTGGAAAAGCCTCGGAGTCCTATCTAGGTGGAGCTGGAGACAGGATGGAAACCCAGGCTGCCCTGTATACAGGGAGCAATACTATTACCCCAGAAGACCTGGCATGGTCTTGGGGTCACTTGGTCTCTCTCTTCTTGCCAAGTCATGCAGTGGATATCTTGGCGAGAGCCTGGTCACAGATACAGGGGGCCCAGGATTCTTTAACCCTGTGGTTTTCCTGAGGAGTGATTGTGAAAGAAGAATCCAGGAATTCTAGCAGTCTCTATTCAGATTCTGCCTTTTCTTTTTCCATTAGGTTATTCTGGCACAACCCTCAGATAAAAACACAAGTTGATACCGTTTCCTTATTCCACAGAAATTTACTCTAACAAGAAAGCACTTCCCAGGTGGGGGTATAGCTCAGTGGTAGAGCATTTGACTGCAGATCAAGAGGTCCCCGGTTCAAATCCGGGTGCCCCCTCTCCATACCCAGACTTTTCCAATTTTCTTAGCCTTGCGCTCCACCTCTCCGCGCTCTCCCACAGGTGACAGGAGAGGCGGCCTCGGGCCCTGCCAATCTCTTTTGCAGTCGGTGAGGATGGAGGCCAAGCCCTGCCACTTGCGTGCGTGTTGTGAGGGTGGAATGCACTGCGAGGGAGGGCGTGGACCTTGGGGTTGTCCCTGTGAACTGTGAGCGTGTCTAAGAGTGGAATGCGCTGCGAGAGAAGGCTTTGACCTTAGGGTTTATCCTTGTGGGCTGTACAGACGGCCCACGCCCCTAGGTAGGGGGCAGGTGGTCGCACTTCCAGGTCGCCTGGCCAGTGACCCGAGGGCAGTTCTCTGGGAGGGAGGTTGAGTTTCTAAGGGCGAGGCTTGGGCTGGGGAAGGAAGGCCCGGAGAAGTCGGCGTAACAGTGTAGGAAGGAGAGAGGGGCGCTGAGCGGGAGTAAGGGGCCTATAGCAGGGCAAAAGATGGGGACCCCGGCCCAAAGGAGCGCCCGGAAGTGAGGGATCTCGAGAGATCTCCAGGAACTCACCCTCCCGCATACCCATATTGCTTTTTCTTACACCGTCAGAAGTCTTTAACTTAGTGCTTCATAAAACAAACCCTGTATTCAGATGTGTAATTGCTTGAAACTTATATCCTTCCCACTGCTGTAAACCTCGGACCGTGCTTCACCGCTCCTGGCGGCGCCTGTGTAGAAGCAGCGTTAAGATGCCTTTTGCCGCGCTCCTGCCAGCAGAGGGGGTATAGCTCAGTGGTAGAGCATTTGACTGCAGATCAAGAGGTCCCCGGTTCAAATCCGGGTGCCCCCTGTCGCCTCATTTTAAGGCACCAAACTCAGTGCCTCGAACAGCTATTTTTCTCAACGCGTTACCCTTTTTCTTCCACAGTTTTATATTGACTTTTTCTTCCTTACCGCTCTTTTAGCAGACGAGAAGCGGTGAGAGACTTTAACAAGTTCACAGCAGTGGCTCTACAAATATGGTCCCGGGACTAGCACCACAACCCGGGGATGTGTTAGTAATGCAGGTTCTCGCCCTCACCCTAAAACTACTGAATCAGAAACTTCGGGATGGTGCCCAGAAATCTGATTTTTAATTAGCCCTCCAGGTGATTCTGATGTACATGCAAGTTCTAGAGGCTAACGTTTTTAAAAATTGACACGCCATTTGCTTCTAATTATTTGTGAGTTGCTGTCTCAGCCTGAGCCCTTGTAGAAGACTTTATAAAACAGACTGCGGGGCACCCTGAACTGGGGTATGTCCAAAGAGGCCCGGCCGGAGCTGCAATCCCGTCCTGGGACCTCTCACCTGGACCTCTCAGACGGTAGGGGCGAGGTCAGATGTGGACCAGTTGGGCCAGAGCCCGAGTTTGCGGACGGCATCTGGGCAGTTCCGGGAAAGTGAGGGAGGGAAACCGCAAAACACGCGCGTTGCGGGTCGTCACATGGTCACTAGAGGGCAGCATGAAGCCGCATCTGAAAGTGGCAGCCTATTTAATCCTATTTGAGAGTCTGCAAAGTCGGGATTTAAATTAGATTAGAATTTACGGACAGGCTTGCCTCGTTCCTCCGAAAGGGAATAAAGGGTTTAGGACTGGAGGAGTTCGTTGCTGGGACCCTGGGTCCTGAGGAAGGAGGAACTGGGATTCTGAGAAATTATAGTCTTTAGTTCTTTTTTCACTCCAGCTCGCACTGTTCCTTCTCTGGTCCCCTCTCATGTCACTTCTCCTGGGGAATTGCCCCCCATGACGCTCAGTTTCTATACAGCTCTTCGCGATTTTGCAGTTCCTAGTTCCCAGACCAGTGGGAGCCCCCTCCCCCCCTTCACTCTCCCAACCTCCAGCGCTCCAGCTTCTTGCTGTCGCACGAAGTAGGTCAGGGGAGGGAAGAGGCACCTCCGAGTCCTGACCTGATTCCCTGCCGTCTATTAAATCTCCTAAATTGCGGGTATTTTTATTCTGTTCTGGAAGGGAAAAAAAAAAATCTATCCCCAGAGCCTGTGGCAAGGGGGTGAACCGTCTTCTTGTTCTGGGGCTGGCTTTGAAGATTGACAGGGTCGGGCCCTGAGCAGGCCTGGGGTCCCCATAGAGGGGTGGCCTGGGTTACCTTCTGGGGGTGGGGAGAGGTCCAATCTATTTCAAAGCAAGGGTGAGCCCGGCCCCCTCCACCCCTAAGTTTGCAGGGCTGGGGGGCAACATGGTGCCAGAAATGGGGTTTTGCGTGGTAAAGTGGAGAGGAGCCCTGGGAGAGGGGTGGAATTCATGCATCTGCTGGGGAGTGGAGCTGGGGGTCTTTGCTGCAAGGGGTGATTCCCGGGATGGGGATGGGCATCCACATAACTCCGAGGAACAGCCCGGAAAGTCGGGAAACCTGGTGGAGCTGGGGGGTGGGGGGGG